CTCACTGAGCTGCATCCTCAGCACCCTCTACCTCCTTAAATTTCTTCTTTTGAGACGAGCTCCTTTTGTTAACCAGGCTGGGCTTACACTTTTGATCCTTAGCCTTCCAGAGTGCTGGGGTCACAGTCATGCATCACCACACCCAGCTTAGTATTATTTAAAGATGGAAATGAAAATTCTGTAACACTGACCATACATAACAGAAAAAGAAAGAAATAACTAATATGCAAATAATATGAAATAACTAATAACTAATATGCAAGGTAGCAGAAACTAGACCCCCAAGGATTTCAGTGGACTAGAATAACATACAGAATTTATTTGTAAAGATAAAATTAATCAAGGACAAATTTTAATCCCTCCCTTGGGTTCACCCTTTACCTGCTTCCCAAGAATAGAATAAGAAAGACAAGGGCAGATGGCACATGTGATAAGGACTTCAGGTTTTAGATGTCTGTGAACCAGATGTGAATTAATGTGAGGGTGGTATACAAATAGAACCATCTCAGAATTGGAAGATCTTGAATTCTAGTCTGTATTCAACCCTGACTGGCTGTGTAATAAAGATTAAATTGTTTTCTTTTTTTGAGCTTCAGTTTTCCCTTTACAAAACAGGTACCATGTCCCAGGTTTTCAGTAATGATAAAATTTATGTGCTTTCTGTTGCTAGTACTACAAAAAATAAGAATTAATTTGGTCGTATATTAAGAAAAACAAAAAACAAGCTATTCAGTTTTGGATACTTTGAAGAGATTTGATACTACATGATTAAAAATTTTTAAATGGGAGAAGAAAATAATCACAATTAGAAACCTCATTAATATCTTTAAATCTCTGAGTGGTTTTTATATGAACTGTTAGAGTGTGGTTTTGGTTATTGTTTGTTTGTGTGTGTGTTTGTTTATGGCCATGAACATTTTACTCAGGGCAATTTCAAGTTTGGCTTAGTATAAATTTAAAGGAAAGCTTTGAACCATTAGACCTGTCTAAAACTATGCTTCTGGAGTTTTTGTTATTGATGTTGTTGCTTTTGGTACTGGGGATGGAACTCAGGACTTTATGCTTGCAAGGCAGGCATGGTGCCATTGAGCTAAATCCCCGGCCCTGACCTGTCTAAAACTAGGTGAACGGGTCTGGGGTGCCTTATGAGCCAGTAGAGATGTACAAGTAAGAGTGTAGGGGAAATCCTTGACTTGGAATATTGTAGCTGGAATTCCTGCCTGCAGAGAAGGGTGTTCAAAGTAATCTCAAAGGTCCTTTTTAACTTTTAAGATTCCAGATTCAGTAATATGGGAGAAATAATAACTCTAACAGTTACTGTGAGAAGAAATGGTTCATGTGAAAACTTCATGCACACTGCATAGTACACAGTCAGTGCTCACTGCCTTATCTATACGATAAAAATAATCCTTACCTTGACCTGGTACAAATGAGATAATGAATGTAAACATGCTTTAAATACCCTTCAAGTCCTTTGCAAGAATAGGAGGTCCGGAAATCTACCTCTTTTATCTGACCAGGTACTGTTGGGGGCATTTTCCTTTATCAGTTTGTTCATTTGCAAAGGGAGACCTTGGCTTTTTGGGGTAAGTGGGTGAGTAGTTGAATAGTTGAGAGGGAAAGCCTGACTCACCTTCATAGAGATAGAATAGATAGATTTGCCTTGCTGTGGCCAAAGAATGTATCAGTTAATAATGTAGACTTTGAGGGCTGGGGATTTAGCTCAGCGGTTCTGCCGCCTGCCTTGCAAGTGCAAGGACCCGAGTTCAATCCCCGGTACAAAGAAAAAAGAAAAGAAAATGTAGACTTTGGAGCTCCAACCCTAGCTCCCTCCCTTACTAGCAGGGATTATTAGGGAATGATAACACCTAATGAGACATTTTTTTGTAGCGATTCAGCATAATATTAAGCATTTGGCCAGAGCCTGGCACCTAAGTACTCAGTTAACAATAGCTGACCCTGTTATTACTATTTTTCTACGTGATGTAAGAGAAATTTTCCAAATGCTTCAGTGAGCCTTTCTTTCAAAACTTTGAGAAGTTACGGGTATGAATTTGTCCATGGTCTATGGCATAGGCCAGTGTTGTTTAAAAAAACAAAAACATGTGCCAGGCATCAGGACACACACCTGTAACTCTGGGATACTGAAGCAGAAAGATCACAAGTTCAAACTCAGCCTAAGCAATTTTTAATTTAGCAAGACCTTGTCTCAAAAGTGGGTGAGGAGATGTAGTGACCAGTATCAGCATGTCTAGGTGGGTAAGCTGGGTAAGTTGTTTTTGAGCCTCTTATCACTGAGGAAATGGTGATAACAATTGTACTCACTCATTGAGTTTTGAGGATTACATGAGTCAGTGAGGTAAAGCCTGTCTGATTGTGAAGAAAGGAAGGTGTGCTTCATATAGATACTGGTTCCTTATAACTATTTCACGTTTGTTCTAGTCAGGTCCTGGTTTGTTTTCTATATGTAATAGAACATTGAGCGGGTTTGGTTTTGTTTGTGGTTACTTGGGTTTGCATCCAGGGCCTCCTTTCTTGCAAGCTAAGCAAATGCTCTACCACTGAACCATCCTCACAACCTAAAATATTGGTTTTAATTTAAAATTAGAAAATTGAAACTCTTCTGTAGCCAATCATGATTTCCTAACACTATACCATGCTATTTCCAAGCCTTTTAAGCAGCCAGAGCCCAGCATTACAGGAAATCTCATCCTAAACATAGAGCATCCTGTTTTTATGCCATTCATTTTTCCTGTTTGACTTCTCTTGATTTAATTTTAAAATTGTATTGTTGTTGTTTTGCTCTAATGTTTACCTTGAGCTTTCTTTGTGTTTTCAAAAGTATGGAATATTTATTATACCAGGATTATTTTTATAAATTATTTCTCTTTTCGTTTTTAAAAATAGGGGTTTTTTTTTTTAGTAGCAAATAACAAACTTATCTAAATTACTAAGAAAGAAACAAGGCGTGTACTACAAGAACTTGGAAATTTCAGCTTGTCACAACTTACTAATTTGCTAATTGCTCACAGTTAAGAAGTGCCTTAGCAAGGTCTGTGACAAGGAACTGTAGAGTCGTCAAGTACCAAAGCAGTCCTTCTTCCCCCATCTGTCACTCTGTTTCCCTTTTTTGTATAGTCTTAGAGTTGTATATATCTCATATATTGTCTCATATATAGTCTCATATATTGTAGTGTGTCTTGGGACAAGTGTTTCATTGTGTGCCCCTGTACTGGGGACCAAACCCAGGGCCTTCACACTGAGCCACACTCCCAGCCCTTTTTTATTTTATTTTATTTCATTTAGAAACAGAGTCTCAGGGCCAGGGATTTAGCTCAGTGGCACCATGCCTGCCTTGCAAGCACAACATCCTGAGTTTGATCCCTGTTACTGGGAGGCAGGGGGGAGAAAAGAAAAAGAAAGAAACAGGGCTTCACTAAGTTGCTGAGGTGCCCAAGCTGGGCTCAAGCTGGGATCCTGCTGCCTCAGCCTCCCAGAGTGCTGGGATTATAGGTGCGTGCTACCATGCCCATTTTGGACAAGTCTTAACGTGTATGTTTGCCTGTTTGCAAAAAGTGATTGTTAACTGTGTAGCTATAATAAACTCCCACAAACTGAGTGCCTTAAAGCAACAGAAATACATTTTCTTGTAGCTCTGGAAGCAGGAAAGTAAAAAATCAGTATTTCTGAAATGAATATATTGACAGAATGTTACCTCCTTTAGAAGCTCTAGAGAGAATCTCTTCCTTGCCTTTTCCAACTTTTGGTGGCTGTTGGCATTCCTTGAGCTCCTGCCCCTGTCTTCATATCATCTTCTCCTCTATGTGGCTGTATGTCTTCACTATCATTATCAAATCTCCCTATTTTTTATAAAGACACTTGTTATTGCATTTAATCCCACTCATATAATCCAGCATAACCTCCTCAACTCAAAAGACTGTTTTTGTTTATCACATAGCATTTACAGTTTCTAGTGATTAGGACCCAGTATCCGCAAGGTCCCGAGTTTGATCCCTGAAACTAAAAAAATAAAGAAAGAAATAAAATAAATGCAAGCTTCCTTCCTTTCCTGCATCCCCCTTACCTATGTCACTGTGGCCCTCCTTTAACTTTACCTTTAAATACTTTTCTTCTCCAGAATGTCATTATCAAATTAAGTGTGGACCTGTTAGGATAATTAATTTTCCACCATTACACCTTTCCCTTACCCTCTGATCAAAACCTTTCCTGTAACCCGAGTTTGATCCCTGGTACCAAAAACAAACAAACAAAAAAAAACCTTTCCTGTAAATTTTTGTACTGGTGATTTTGGTGATGTTGTACTAGAGTGTAAAATGTACCAGGGGTGGACCCCTAGCCTGCCGGTCTGACCTCCCTCCCTCTGAAGTGCTGAGGATATAGGCTAAGGCCTCAAGCAGACTAGGCAAGTGTTCTACCATTGTTCTTCATTCCCAGCCCTGCGACACACTTCTCTTCACAGCTATATTTATGCCTTAAAAGAGTGCCCAGAATGAAATACTTTCTTAATAAATATGTCATCTAGCTTACTGGCAAGCTTAGCTGAGCATGATTTAAACTTCTTCACATGTTAATAATTCCAGCTATAATTTATTGGATGTAGACTATGTATACCATGTGCTGAATGATTATATGTTCTTAGCAATCCTTACCACCTTCCTACAGGGTAGCTTTATGTGCTGTGGATGTGAAAAGTAAGGGAGAGGGAGGAGTCAAATTTTTCCTAAGTTTCTGACTTAGATACTGCTTCAAGTAACGATGAAACCCAGGGGAGGGTGTGTGTTTGTTTGCTTATTTAATTTTAAAGATAAATAACATTTATGGTATCTGCAGGTCAATAACAGGGGTCTGTTCCTGGGCCACAGTTTCCAGAGATACCTCTGACTCCCCCGGCCAGTTAGCTGAAGATGGTGGTATTCCTGCTTATCCCAGAGCAAGGTTGCTTATTTTATTCCACTGTGCTCTAACTTGAACATGTTCAGTTTCTGTTCCAGATGATCGGGCTGAACAACGAACCTGTCTCATTTGTGGGGACCGTGCCACAGGCTTGCACTATGGAATCATCTCCTGTGAGGGCTGTAAAGGGTTTTTCAAGCGGAGCATTTGCAACAAACGGGTATATCGGTGTAGTCGTGACAAGAACTGTGTCATGTCTCGGAAGCAGAGGAACAGATGCCAGTACTGCCGCTTACTCAAATGCCTCCAGATGGGGATGAACCGGAAGGGTGAGTGGTGCTCAAGGCTCTTACTGCCCACCCTTCACCCATCACTGCCTTTAGCATGAGCTGCTATGCTTTGGAGTTACTCAGTTCCCAGGCTGGCACTGTGCTACAGGCCTTGTACTGTGTGTTCACAACCCAATTTAGGTGGAGAGAGAGACTGGTAGGATGTTAAGGATTCTATGGGAGTGAATGCATAGGCCCCATGTGGTGAGACGTCAGTTAACAGTCAGGTCCTAAGGGCTGGGAATGTAGCTCACAATGCAGCACAGGGTCCTGAGTTTGATTCCTGTTACCAGAAAAAGAAAAAAATCAGGCCGGGGATTTAGCTCAGTGGTTCGGTGGCCTGCCTTGCAAGCGCAAGGACCCAAGTTCAATCCCCGGGACCGAAAAGAAAAAATCAGGTCCTGACCAGGATTAATGTACACCACCAGTTTTTTAAGGGATGATAGCAGGAATTAGAAATTTTAGATGGAAAGGCAGGAAATTCTCTGAACAATACCATTTTGTTCACTAGAAGTATGGTGTACTCTGAGTTTAGATAGGTACGTTCAGAAATGTGTCCAAGTTCACAAAGAGTTTGGGGTTTGTTTGGAAACTAAAAAAAAAAATAGTATTGTCATGCATGCATATAACATTTTTATTATATCCACTCCTCTGTTACCCTCCCTTATACCACCACTGCCTTCCTGTTCTCTAATAATAGTCTCCCTTCTACTTTCATGCCTTTGAGGGTGGGGGTTCTGCATGTTAGGGAAAACATGCAGTACTGGTCTTCCTGAGTCTTATTTCACTTAACATAATGATCTCCAGTCCCATCCATTTTCCTGCAAATGATGTAACTTTATTCTTTACAGCTGAATAATTCTCCCTTGTGTATTTATACCACATATTCTTTATCCATTCATCTGATGGTGGGAATCTAAGCTTGTTCTACATCTTGGCTGTTGTGAATTATGTTGCAAGTAAACATGGGTGTATAGTTTTGGGGGAACTTTCTGAGATAATTGTTGTAATAAGACGAATATGGAAGGCAGCTTTGAAGGGTGGATTGGATTAGGGGAAGCAGAAAAGCCACCTGGAAGTTTGTTTTGTTTGGTTTGGGTTTTTTTGTTTTGTTTTGTTTTTTGTTTCTTTGAGACAGAGTCTCGCTTTGTAGTTCAAGCTGGCCTTGAACTCACTATGTAGCCTAGGCTGGGCTCGTCGAACTCAAGGTGATCCTCCTGCCTCAGCTTCCCCAGTGCTGGGATTATAGTCATGCACCACCATGCCTGGCTTACCTTGAAAGTTTTAGAAGAACCCAGAAGGAAGGTGTGGAGGATCTGGAGGAGGAGAAGGAAAATGGCATGGGCAAGAGGTATGGAAGAAGCTCACCTGATGAGATTGGAGCCATACTGAGTTTTGGATAGTGCCAGAAGTTGGAGTTGAGGGTTTGAGTTAAGAGTAATGACAAGCAGGGGGAAAAGGCTAAAGAGCAGCACACAGTGCACCCTTGACATTGGCAGTGCTGAGTTGAGGAACCTCCAGACAGATTGCCAGCAGGAAGTTAAATGTATAGAATTGGAACTGGGGTGAAGAGTCCTGCCTGCAAATTGAAGTTTGTGAAGCTGCTGGCATGGGGGTAGAATCACCCCCACAGAAAGCTTGGATACAGAAGAATGAGCTGTGTTCCTTGGAGAGAGGGGAGTAGGCAGTATCATTTGGTAGAAAGAATAGAGGATCTAGTCAGGGAGACTGCTCTGTGGCCTTGGGAAGTTTGTTTTATGTCCCTGACACTCAGTGACCTTACCTTTAAAAACAGCATGATATTACTTACTTTTCAGAGTTTTCTAAGGGGTGAAATGATAAAGTGCATAAAATATAGAGCAAAGTATTTTGGGTTCACAGCAGCAGCACACAAGGCTGGGGAGTTAGATTTGTGAACTATTCAAACTGGTTTTGTTGCATTAATGAATGTAGATTTGCAGAGTACTTTAGGCCAATTTTACTGTGTGAGGGATGAAAAGGATCTTTTTAAAACTTGCCTGTTATTTAAAAAAAAAAAAAGAAAAGAAAAATTTGCCTGTTATGAGAAAGATAAGAGGTATGGAGGGCATTTTTTAGATGAATGCAAGTGGTTTGTAATTTTTTATAATACTTATATTTATTGAGCACTTACATGTAACAGAAACTCTTATGTGCTTTCCATACATCATATCATCGAATACGCACAATAAACCTGCTGTTGACTATTATTCTCAGCTTATAAATGCAGCTTGGGAAGGTCAGATCACTTACTGGTAGTTAGTTTAAGGGTAGTTGCGATGACAATATTTTTAAAATTATAATTTGTTAGTAGTCAACCAGAACTTGTACTGCTTCACATGTCTGCCCTGTGGCACAGCTGTTTGCATGTCAGAGTGCCCTGTGTTTACTGGATGCTAAAAAATGGCTTAGCATTTGAGGTGTTGCCAAGTTTGTCCCCTGCTCTTTTCCACCTTTCTTTTGCCAGAACACAGCCTGGAGGCTGCATTAGCCATTCTGTCTGTGCTCAGGTCCCTCACTCTACTCGGAGTCCTTTCCCTTCCCCACTATCACTTTCCTCCCACAGAAATCTTTCCTAGCCTCCATTATGAAACCAGCACTGCCTTGAAAAGAGAGTTTGGTTGTCTTTCTACCCTCACCTTGTTTTCATCTTGTCCCCCACTATTGTCCTCTCATTGTTGCCCTCACTGAGTATTTTGTTCAAAACATAGTTGTGAGATGCCTTCTTGACTGTTTTATCACTTTTTTTTTTCTTTTTTTTTTCCCCCTGGTACTGGGGATTGAACTCTGGACCTTGTTCTTGTGAGGCATGTGGCGGAACCACTGAGCTAAACCCCCAGCTTGACTGCTTTCTCTGAGGAATCTGCCTGCTTTTTCAGTTGGAGTGTGAGATTTTGAGACTTCCAGCCAAACTCATTTGTTTTAGGGAAGAAGAAACTTAACCTTCTAACTCCTGCAACCATAACCATAAGATGACACATGGGGTCTGAGGGGCAAAGGTTTGTCTGCATCAGAGAAGGCAGGCTGAGTGCCTGGTAAAGGCTGCCTTCAGAGAGAAACTGCCACCTCCTGGTTGGTGCTGGAAAAGCATGATTAAAATTACAGTTGCCATGGGAATATTTAGGCGATGAGAAATATTCTGTATGGAACTGTAGTGGCCAATACATAAATGTGGGCATTTCCCAAAATCCATAGAACTGTACACCACAATGAAAATGAATTTTACTGGATGTAAAATCCTGTTTTAATCAACCAGAATGTGGTAGGAGGATGGCAGGGGACGGAGAGATGGAATGCATGCTATGACAATTGACTGTAACTGGTGTTACAGCGAGTCACCTTACCACACTGAAGGGGACAGGGAAGAAAGGAGCTAACCTTGGGAAGCAGTGTTTTGATTGTATATCATAAGGGTGAAAACAAAAAGAATTGCACATAAACAAAGCACTCTAGTTAATAAAATTTGTGTCTCTTAGGGTGTAATATGTTGGAAATTCTGTCCCTACTTTAAATGCATACGAAATAATGAGAGTCAGGTTTTATACATCAGAGAAAGAAGTTATAAATTAGGAAAGGGGAAGGCTAGAATGAAACCTTAGGTGCTGAACTGGAATCAGTGGTGTCAGTATGGGCTCATGTTTAGGTACGTGTGTGTGATACGTGAGTTGATACATTTATATATATTTCCAAGCTCCAGCCATTACGAGGGGTGAGAAGTGATCATGCCCAGCAGCAGTGAACACACCGAGCGCCAATATCTTGGCTTCTAAATAGCAATTAAAGAAGTCAGGACTCCTTGGAGAACTGATGGATTCTAGGACTGGGATAGAGAAAATAAATGAGCCTGGAAGCCAGCATGGTGATGCACACCTGTAATCCCAGCTTCTCAGGATTCTAAGGCGGGAGGAACACAAGTTCAAGATTAGGCTGGGCAATTTAGTAAGACCCTGTCTCAAAATAGAATAAAGAAGGTAGGGGTTGTTTGTGCACAGAGGTAGAGGGCTTACTTAGCATGCACAAAGCCCTGAATTCAATCCCCTATGCTGCTCATTAAATAACTAATTAATTAATTTTAGAAGGAAGCATATTGAAAGGGTACAGAACTCAGCCTGGAAGAATTTTCAGTGCCCAAAGCTGGAACAACTTGGACAACAAAATAATTCTTCCTTATAAAAGACTTATCATTATAAGAAGAGATAGAACTTTTGTAAAAGGGAAGGGGACCAAGAGATGTGAGAGGGAGGAGATGTGAGAGGGGAGGAGAAAGGGATAAGAAAGAATTAAGATGTGTTATGAACGTGTACCAACTCCTGACAAGGAATGTCATCATTATATACTGCAAACATGTACTAATAAATCTGGATTAAAAAGCTGAATGTGGTGATGCATGTTTTAGAGAGCAGGTTTTTTTTGTTTGTTTGTTTTTTGGAGATAGTCTTGCTATGCAGTTCAAACTGGGCTTGAACCCACTACGTAGCCCAGGCTAGACTCAAACTTATGGCCATCCTGCCTGTCTCTCAAGTGCTGGACAGAACAGTTTTTAGCAGGGCTCTGATGTAGTCACCTTTGCATCTTACTCATGCTTTTGGTTTCTCTGTGTGGCTGTCTGCCCAGGACCAAGCAGGTGGAGACAGTAGGCACATGAATTGCAGAGCAGAAAAAGTATTTGGCTGCTTTTGAGCAGATTGAAGAGCCATAGCAGGTGCCATTTTCTTAGCTTGGATAAGATGTGGCGGAACCACTCCTGGAATGCTGCACCCAGAAACCACTTGCTTGTGTTAATCAAATCATTGCCAGAAAGATGCTTGGCACAGCTAGGTTTAAATCTCAGCACAGTCTGTTCCTCCTTAACTATCCCTCACTGAGCTCCATCTCCGCATCTCTTAGGGTAGTAACAGTGTATACCTTTTGAGGTTGTAAAAAGATCACATGAAATAACTTGTGTGCAAGTACATCATAAGCTTTAAAATATGATGCAGGTGTTTGTTTTGATGGAAGCACTGTGACACAGTGTAGTTTTTCTCCACTCTTCAGGCAATTTCATGCTATCCTGACAGATTTTTGTATCTCTGATTAAATCAGTACTATTACTTGCCTTATTTTCTTTCAATCAACTTTTTTTTTTTTTTTTTTTTTTGTAGCGGGGATTGAACTCAGGACCTTGCTCTTGGGAGGCAGGTCGCAGCACCATTGAGCAAGATCCCTGGCCCCTTTAAATCAACTTTAAAAAAACAAAATACAAGTTAATTTTCAAAGGGAAATTATCATCTTAGTGGATTAAAAAAATCAGTATTAGGTCAGAGATTTAGCTCATTGGCACCTTGCCTGCCTGGCAGTCACAAGGTCCAGAGTTGGATCCTTCATACCAAAAATCAGTATTTGTAATACACATTAAAATAAATATAGAATTAAGAGTTTATCTATTCATTAACATATATTAAACATTTCTCCACTAAGACTCATTCACAGTATGGGAAATATGGGTGAGGGAAGGAAAGCTGGTCTTAGTTGTATAATCTGAGGTCCAACCCTGATTCTTGTGTTTGTTTTTTGTCTCCTTAAGTGAAATACTTTTTTTGCCTGAACTTTAGGTTCAGCTCTTCAATGGGAGTGATATTAATACTTTTGTCGTGAGTTTTTACCCAGGATAGTAATACCTAGCACGTTGCACATGTCCATCATATGCCAGTTTTCTTTTCCTTTTTCTTTTTTGGTACTAGGGACTGAGCTCTGGTCCTTGGACTTGCAAGGCAGGTGGCAGAACCACTGAGCTAAATCCCCAGGCCCATATGCTAGTTTTGGGGTTGAAACAACATGAGCTTTTAAGTTTCAAAACAAGCTGATAAGATGTAAATCTTCAAGTTTTTTTTTTTTTTATTGTTTGAGGTTTTTGTTGCTGTTTATTTGTTTGGTTTTGGGGGATTGTTTTGTGGTTAGTTTGTTTTGTTTAGACCAGGTCTTGCTATGTATCCCAGGCTGGTCTTGAACTCACTGTGTAGCCTAGGTTAGCTTTGAACTCATAGCAGTCCTTCTGCCTCAGCCTCCTGAGTACTGGGATTACAGGGATATGCCACCATGCCTGGCAAAGGTTTTTGATTCTTAAAAGAAAAAGTAAAGGGCCGGGGATTTAACTCAGTGGTGCCCCCACGTACCTCGCGAGCGCAGGGTCCCGAGTTCGATCCCCAGTATCCCAAAAAAAGAAAAAGTAAAGCAGGTCGAGTTTCTTCCTCACCTCCAGAATAGTGAAAGGTGTCAGCTGAAATATGTTTAGTGTCGTATCTGCCTTTGATAGGTCTTTGTTTTGTACTTGAGAGCTGGGAGCAAAGACATATGAGATGTCAATATTGGGATAGGAAATATCTAAAGATTCTTACTAATCCCAAAACAGCAGGGAAGGGATTTTTAAGGATATTTTAAACTTGAGATTAGGTTAAAAGAGTGCTACCAGGTAATAGCCAGTATACGTCTAGCTTAATATAAGCTATGTATGCTTCTCAGTACAAATTCACAGCAGGCTAGTAAAGTAGACTGTGTTCCTCATTTTGCACATGAGGGTACAAAGACTTGCAAGGTTACTCTTGGCTTTGTTGAGCATATTACATGGGTTCTGTATATGTTATATGTACCTGGGGCCCAAGGCCCAGAGTACCTGCTGCCAGTGAGAAGCCTGTAGTAATAGAAAGAGTTATGTGCTGAGGGTCCAGAAAGACTCGTGTTCTAATCTCAACTTCCCCAGTTACTACCAGAGACTTTGAGCTAAATAAATTCTCTTTTTGTGCTTAGACTTGTGAATTTGCCTCTGACTGTCTTATGTTTCTTCCAGCTATCAGAGAAGATGGCATGCCTGGTGGCCGGAATAAGAGCATCGGGCCAGTCCAGGTGAGTTCTCTGTCCATACTGGAAGCCCAGGGCCCCATTCCTGTGCCTGTTCACTTGACCCTTTCATCTCTTGCTGGGGAAGCCACCTTTGTTCTCCTTCCTGGAAAACTGCTTTTATTTTATTTTACATATATATGTTTGTTTGTTTTTTTTTTTTTTTTTTTTTTTTTTTTGGTACCAGGGATTGATCTTGGGTCCTTGCGCTTGCAAGGCAGGCCACCGAACCACTGAGCTAAATCCCCGGCTGGAAAACTGCTTTTAGAGCCCAGATATGAAAATGTTCTTACAATCTCAAATGTGGAAGCTAATTATTAAAGCTTTTCTTGTGATCCCTCAGCTCCCTAAGTATTTCATAGGCAGTGAGCCAAATTCTGGCTCTGAACCAGAAGATTTTGGGGTTTTTTGTCCTTTACTTAAAATTGTACATAACTTCATCTGGCAGAAATCAACTAGACTATTTTGTTGTTCATTTCTTCTAAAGATTTATCAATAGAAGTTTCATTATTTTACTTGTAGAGTAGGAATAATAATACTTGACTCAATCTCACAAATATTTACTTAGCTCCTACCCTTCCAGGTTCTGTACTGTGACCTTTGTCCAGTGGGAGAGATAGATACATGTAAATAGGTATCGTAGTAAAGTGAGAGTAACAGAGGTTGCCCCGGGAGGACAGAGCAAGGGGCTTCTATTTCTTTCGGGTTAGAGCCTGAGTTGAGAACTGGAGACATTCAGTGAGGTTTCCTTCAGAAGGCAGTGTTTAAACTGAGTATTGAGGAAGGAGAAAGAATTAGCTGTTCTGGGAAGGGATGTGAAGCTATACACCTTTTATTCATGCTAGACAGAGCAGACTGTGTAGAGGCCTGTAAATGAATCTTTAAGGGATGACAGGAGTGAGGAGATTAAGTCTGGAACATTCAGTACGTGGAGTGGCAGACGAAACAGAGTCCTTGAATTTGGAATCAGTGTTCTAAAGAATGACCTTTATATCTTTGACTCTAGCCCCTATATAAAGCTCTACCGCCCAATGCTGGGGATTGAATCCAGGGCCTTGTGCATGCTAGGCAAGTGCTATCTATACCACTGAGATACATTCCTAGCTGTTTTGCTTTGTTTTATTTTGTTTTGTTTTGTGAGACGGTCTTTCTAAGATGCCATTCTGGTCTTGAATTTTATATTTACCTGTCTCATCTTCTCGAGTAGCTGGGATCACAGGCAGGCACTACAGTGCCTGGCTAAGTCAAGCCTCTGTGGGGCCAGCCTACACCACTTGTTCTTGTCTGCCAGCAGGACTTTGTGATGATTGAGAATGGCATCTATTTTATGGCCCATCAGTTGAATCCTTCAGCACACTAGGGAACAAGCAAGTGCCTTAAAAGTTTTTGGTTGTGTACCAAGAGTCAACCATTAAAAGACTTTTAGGTAGAGAGCCAGGGATTTAGCTCAGTGCCTCACAAGCACAAAGTCCTGAGTTCAATCCTTGGTACTGAAAAAAAAAAAAGTTTAGGTAGGGAGAGGGCCATGCTCATATTTGCATTTCATAAAAATCATTCTAGCAGTGGAAATGGTTTGTGAAGAGTGAAATGGAGAGGGGGAAAACCAGATAAAAGAGTTTGCAGAAGTTCAGTCCAGGAGGTATAGGTAATAGTTTGAAGTAGGGCAGTGCCAGTGCAGATTGAGAGGTGGGAATAGATGCAAAAGATGGTAAATAATTAGGCTAAATGATAGGATTTCTCTAGTTAAACATGAGCAATGAAGGAAAGACAGGAATCCAGAGATAAACACTGATGACATATGGGAGATGTCCTATCACATGAGTTTGATCCACAGTATACACTCAGTCAGGGCATGTGTATTTTAAATTTTTATTTATTTGTTTGTTTGTTTATTTATTTAGAATTCACTATGTAGCCCAGGCTGGCCTTGAAGTCACAGCATCCTCCTGCCTTGGCCTCCTGAGTACTAAGAAGGAAGGTGATATTATTTCCCATTTTACAGATGAGGATGCTGAGGCTTAGAGAGCTTAAGTGACACATTCAATAAAGCCCCCAGCTAGGACTTGACAAAGGAAACTTGAACCCAGGTTTAAGCACTTGCAACATATTTTGTTCCCCTATTCAATTCATTGACAATTTCCCAGTGTCCCAGGGGACTTGTGGGGAAAAGACAAGTGCCGCTCCCAGCAGGAGTCAGCTGAACTGGCCCCATCGTCCAGCCTTAAACCATTGTGCCTTCCGATCTCTGATCCAGCTCTCACCACCATCACTGAGGCTGCAAACAATTATTTCAGAATTCTGAGGACTGCTAAAAGTCGGTGTTTTGTTTTGCTGTTGCTTTTTTTTGAAGGTACACATGACTGAAAAACAGTCCTTCCAATTTAATATGTAATCTAAGCCATTTAAAACCAACTACTCAGTTTTTACACCGTTTAAGTACACTGTTAGCCTCCCAAGTCCTATGTGTTGACTGGCTTCCAGTTCTGAATGTTCTGTATCTATGACTTAGACATTCCAGGTTCCCTCAGAGGCTGCTGGAGCAATGAACTATGCAGCTTTGAGTCAGACATTTTGCAGGAGCAATACATAAAAATTTGGGCTGGGGATTTAGCTCAGGGGTGCCGCTGCCTGCCTCACAACTGCAAGGTCCCTAGTTCAATTCGCAGTCCCCCCAAAAACCCAATAAAAATTCATCTGGACCCTCCTTCTCAGCAGTCCCTCTCCTGTTGGGGGTAGGCATTTAGGTCTCAATTCTAGTTAGAGACTCTATTGAAGTTTATTCACTCTCTGAATGGTATTAGCTCGATAACTGGATTGAGACCTTGTATACTTTAGCTCCTTCCTCGAACCCTTGCCCAGACATAGACACACAGAGTGCCTTGTTCAAGCTAGTTCTTTTACATGAGCTTAGAATGTCCTTCTTACTTTAAAAAAAAAGTCATGTGAAGGTACATGGCTGGTGATTAATAAAAATTTGTTTACTCAGTGTTCATTTACTAAGTAATTCTTCTTTTCTAGAGTCTATCATGGCTTTCAATTTAGTAGAAAATATTTTTATGATACCTTGTCAAAAATCCATTAAAGTAACAATACCCAGTATGGTGGCACATACCTGTAGTCCCAGCAACCTGGGAGGCTGAGGTGGGGGAATCTGATGAACCCAGGAGTTCAAGATATGCCTATGCAGCATAGAGACCCTGTCTCAAAACACAAACAAAGTGAAACAAACAGAATGTATGACCAGCCCTTCCATATTTGTTTCTATGTATCAGGTCCTTTTCTAAGTATTTGATGTATATTAACTAATTGCATCATCCTCTCAAGTTTCCTGTGAGATGGAGACTTAATTTATCTGCCATACATAGGAAAGAATTTAGGTTCAGTAGTTCAATGACCTGCCCAGTATTATACAACTAGAAATGGATTTGAACAAATTTAGTCAGGCTCCAGAATTTATACACTCACCCACTACACAGTTCTGCCTGTCTCAGAATGCAAAGAATTATGAGTGAATAGAAGAAAGGCCTAAAATTTTAAGTAGCAGTGGAAAGTTTTTTTTCTTTCTTTCTTTCTTTTTTTTTTTTTTTTTTTTTTTTTTTTTTTTTTTTTTTTTTTTTTTTTTTTTTTTTTTTTTTTTTTTTTTTTTGAGATAAGCTCTTGCTATGTAATTCAAACTGGCCTTGAATTCTCTATTCGCTATGTAGCCCAGGCTGGCCTGGAATTTGTGGTGATCCTCCTGCCTCAGCCTTCCAAGTACTAGGATAACAGACCTGCACCTCCACACCCATCTGAACGTTTCATAAAGATGATGCTTGAATTGGGTCTTAAAGGGCATATAGAAGATTATAATTGAGGAATGGTATTTCAGGGCTAAGAAAGAGTAGACTTAAGGACAAATAGGAGTATTGAGGGCTGTACAGACCTTGCGGCATGAGAGTGGATGGGGTAAAAGCTGAAAGCCATGACCATGGTGCTGGCAGAGTAGCAGCCAAACTCTCCTAAGATTAGGAAGAAACCTGGAGTATAGGGGTATAGGAGAGCATCTGAGGCTCTTTCTAGAGAGTGCTGGGAATCCTGTGAGATCGGAGAAGGATCAGAGGGTTTCTTGACCCAGTCTAACATGTATTAATTCCTTGCCAAAGATATCGGAGGAAGAGATCGAGAGGATCATGTCTGGGCAGGAGTTTGAGGAAGAAGCCAATCACTGGAGCAACCATGGCGACAGTGACCATAGTTCCCCTGGGAACAGGGCTTCAGAGAGCAACCAGCCCTCACCAGGCTCCACATTGTCCTCCAGGTGAGCTTTAAGGCAAACCCAGTTTCTTCAAAGACAGACCCACAAGAAACCTCTGGCTGAGTTCCTGCCAGGCTGTGCCAGCCATTGTGCTCTTACTTCCTCAGCCTGATGGGATGCAGCCAGGGTGACACAAAGCCACATTTCTCAGCTTGTTTTATGCTGAGACCTCAAAATATCAACAGTCTCTTCAGCAGACTGTTGAAGTATGATAGTTACTATGCATGAACATACAGCTTTTATCAAATAGAATGTTTAAAATATAGCATTTTTCTTTCTTTCATCATTTATTGGTGCTGGGGAATGAATCTCTCATTTGTTTTATCATTGCCATAGAACAAACCACACAGCAAGGCATAGGGGTGTGTGCCTGTAGTCCCAGATATTCAGGAAGCTGCCTGGGCAATTTACAATACTCTGTCTTAAAATAAAAAGGACTTGGGCTGGGGATTTAGCTCAGTGGCAGCGTGCCTGCCTTGCAAGCCCAAGGTCCTGAATTTTATTCCCAGTACCAGAAAATAAAAAATAAAAAGGACTGGTAATGTATGTAGCTCGGTGATAGATCATCCCTGGGTTCAATGCCAGTACTATAAAACAAAATAAAAGTCACACTAATAATGCTGAATTGTTATAATTTCTCTGCCTTGAAAAAAATCAGTTTTTCAATTTAAAAATTTTAAGAAACAGTGAAAGTTTTTGAAGCCAGTCAAATTTGCTGCTCCATAAGGGTATACAAATTTTAAAGATTCGTGGTACAAACATTGCTTTTTGCCGGGGGTACCGGCGATTGAACTTGGGTCCTTGAGCTTGCAAGGCAGCAGTGTGGCATTTTTAAAACCACATCTTAATTCTTTTTATATCCCTTTCCCTGACCCTCCCTTATCCCTCCCTCCCTTCATCTCTCTCTCTCTGTCTCTCTCTCTCTCTGAAAGTTAAATATCTTTCTGTACTGTATTCACTTAATGTTGGTTAAGGTTACAAGTCTACTAAATGAAAAAGTGGAAAAGTATTGATATCTCAGATTTAACTCAATTTTGAATATTAGGCAACCCAGTATAATTTCCTAGATTTAGCTTAAGATACCTATAGAGTGAATAAAAGTGGGTTGTTGTTTTGGTACCAGATTGAACTCCGGACCTTGTGCTTGCATGGTGCTAAATCCCTGGCCCCTCCCTCCATCTCTTGGTACCTTCCCATTTGCAGAAGATCTCTTTCCCTGTTTCCTATTATCTATCCATTATTTGGGGTTTTTTTTGGGGGGGGTCTGTTTGTTTGTTTTTGAGACATTGTCTCACCATGGAGTTCAAGGTTGACCTTGAACTTGTGATGTGATCTTTCTGCCTTAGCCTCCCAAGTGCTGGAATCACAGGCATGTGCCACCATACCCAGCTTTTTTGCTTTTAAAATTATTTATACTTTGGGTTTCTCATGTAAGAGAAAGTGTGTGACAAACATGACATCTTAAGGTAGCTGTCAGGTGTAAAATGGAACCCTTAACTACCAAAGAAGGGCTCCACCCCAGAAACCTTCTCCAAGGACAAGGATTGACAACCTTTTTCTGTAAAGTCCATACAGTAAAATACTTCAGACTTTTCAGACCTAATGTTCTGGCTCTCAACTATTCAGCTCTACCATTGGTAGAGAATAAAAATAGCCACAAACAACATGCAGACCAATAAGTGTAGGGCTGGGGATTTAGCTCAGTGGTTCTGCTGCCTGCCTCACAAGTGGAAGGTCCTGAGTTTGATCCCCAGTACAAGGACAACAACAAAAAAGAAACAGTGAGTTTGGCCATGCTTCAATAAAACTTCATTTACTAAAACAGGCTATGGCAGTGGTGGCAAATGTATGGCACGCATGCTGCAGCGGGCTGTTTATATCATTGAAAGCGCTAAAAGGTTCACCTTTCCTGAGTTGAATGCTCACCTTGGCCTGCATTTTGCAGTTTGTAAAACTTTGTTATAGGAATATATCTAGGTAAAAGCTATAGGATTTTTAAAATTCATTACCAGAGTGGTTAGATTTCTCCAAGAATCAGGAGACAGGAAAAAATCTGCTTCTGCTTTTATTCAATTCAGGTGTTCCTTAGTTTGTTTGATCCTTTGAATAGTTAGGGGATTATGCCTCTATGTCACTTTCATTCCTATGTGCTAGATTTTTTAGGTGATCTGGCAAGACTCTTAGCTTGTCTGTATCTTTGTTTTCCTACCAGTAAAATAATACAGACACTCACTTTTGTCATCATAGTTTATGAGTGTCCATCAGAAATCCTTCAGATATAATTTCCATACAAAGAACTCACCCAACCAATATTTATTCATCACCTACTCTGCCAGGCACTGAGTGTCCATGGCGAGCCCCACATTCGTGCCACCCACACGAGTCCTTGTCTCACAAATGGGAGTGTAGTAGGGGACATGAGCATGCAGCCACTGATTATGTTCCCTGGCTTGATGTGACACTGATTTTCTGGCCAAAGAATGCTTACGCTACCTAGTGGCTCATTTCCTGTGAGTAGGCACTAGGCTTGCCACGCCTTTGCTTGACATGGGATTTTTCTCTCCAGTAGGTCTGTGGAACTAAATGGATTCATGACATTCAGGGAGCAGTACATGGGAATGTCCGTGCCTCCACATTATCAGTACATACCGCACCTTTTTAGCTATTCCGGCCATTCACCACTTCTGCCTCCACAAGCTCGCAGCCTGGACCCCCAGTCATACAGTCTGATTCACCAGCTGATGTCAGCCGAGGACCTGGAGCCACTAGGCACACCCATGTTGATCGAAGATGGGTGAGTGAGCTCTGCCCTGCTTGGCTCCTTGCAGCCTCAAAATGTCCCTACCCTGTACCCACCACCATCCCCGGCTAATCTACCCCAGGCTTTGGAATGAGTCGGACGATAATGGGTGATGATGCAAGCATCATGTGACAGATCTGTGTGCATCTGTGAAGTAAGTGGTCCCCTCATTTTTCCCTTAATCATCTTTTCTCATCGAGCTGGGATTTCTTTCCTTCCTCTGGAATTGGGGTTGAAGGGCTTTTGTTTCTGCTTGAGCCTAAGTAACCCAGGCTCTGGGATGGGTCTGAGAACTATGCCAGAGATGAACTATAGTCCTGGAAATAATTGTATACCTATCTAGGCCCCTTACCAAGGCATCCGGGACCCTAACTGATGCATCTGTCTGCAGCTGTAGCCAGCATCCTCATAGGTAGCCTGGTGGCATGTGACCCTTGGGTGCAGGCCTGAGTGGGTAGAGCTAGGTTATAGTTCAGCTGGCAATCCCACCAATTGCATACCCTTGAGCCTAGAGCACAGAGGGTAAACTGTTTGAATGTTACCAACCTTAGACCTTCCAGAAGGTATCCTGAGATTTCTTAAGCAATCTTCAGTTTCAGAAGAGGAGACTCAAATATCTACCCACAAGAAAGCACACAGATGGGCCGGGGATTTAGCTCAGTGGTTTTGCCACCTGCCTTGCAAGCACAAGGACCCAAGTTCGATCCCCGGTACCAAAAAAAAGAAAGAAACAAAGCACACAGAGCCTTTACATATCTTGAAACGGGTGTAAGAAGGATGCCAAGGAACCTTAGAAGGAAGCAGCTGGGGCCTTGAGTCTGTGACCTCAAAGGCCCCTCTCAGGCCAGAGTTGAGAAATGTGTTTCTTCTATCCAGCTCTAAGTTTAGGGGAAGGCAGAGCAACTCTGATTCCTAAACTCACCACCAGGGGGTGCAGTGAGAACAGGAAAAGCTGCTGAACTCATTCTGTTCTTTGGCCCACTGCTGCTTGTTTTTTGTGCTGGTCCCTGTATTGTGTGGGCACCAGATTGACCCCACTGGAGTTCTCGTGGCCAAAATTAGGGTAGGAGTGACTTGGAATTTTCTCTAAGGCATGGAACATTAGAGGACACCAATATTAAAAGTTATTTTTCCTGATAATTCTACAAATTTGTAGGTCTCCTTTTCCCTCAGCATCCTTTACTTACCAAACCCACCTCTGCCTCCATGAGCTTGTTCCTGGGCTCAGTCTTCCCCTCTTATAAGAAAACTGAGTTAAAGCTCAGAGTGGTGGTGCATCTGTAAAACCCCAGCCCTTTGGGAGGCTGATGCAGAAGGACCTCAAGTTCAAACCCAGCCTAGGCAACTTAGTGAGACCCTGACTCAAAATAAACAATAGAGAAAAATGGCAGACTGGGGCCATGGCTCAGTGGTGAAGTGCTTGCCTAGCATGCCAGGGCCCTGGGTTTGATTCTCAACACTGCAAAAAAAAAAAGTAAAGAAAACAAAATGGGCTGGGAATGTAACTCAGTGCGGTACTGGGTTCAACCTCTAGTACTGAAAAATATAATAAAATTGAGTTGAATGAAACTGGAGATCCATGATCAAGGAGGAAGGGTCTCATGGCCAGGAACACTTTTTGTCCTTAGGGGTGGCTTCTTGCGTCTCTGTCCTTACCCTTCAGTTGATGGGAATGACTTTCCCCATCCCCAGATATGCTGTGACTCAAGCGGAGCTGTTTGCCCTGCTTTGCCGCCTGGCCGACGAGCTGCTTTTTAGGCAGATCGCCTGGATCAAGAAGCTGCCTTTCTTCTGTGAGCTCTCAATCAAGGATTACACATGCCTCTTGAGCTCTACATGGCAAGAGTTAATCTTGCTGTCATCCCTCACGGTTTACAGCAAGCAGATCTTTGGGGAGCTGGCTGACGTCACTGCCAAGTACTCACCCTCTGATGAAGAACTGCACAGGTGAGGCTGTTGGCTGGGGAGGAGTCCCAGACAACCAAACCACTGTCACCCTGCAGGCCTGCCCTCCACAGGATGGACATTAAACCATGTACACCTGAATTTGGATCCTCACTATGCCACTAAACAGCTTTGTGATGTTGGTCAGATCTCTCATCTTCAGGTCCTGAATTTTTAAAATGGGATAATGACAATACCTTCCCCAAAAAGTGGTTGTGAGGAACAAATATTGTGCAGTCAAACTTAGCAGAGTGCTAAACTCTTGTTTTTATTACATCTAGATTAGTGAGATGTGACAGTGTATCCAGAAGAAACAAAAATCTAAACTCTGCCTACAAGAGACAGGCTCTGAAGTAGAGTTTATAATCCAAGAAAGACACCTAGGAGTCTTTGTGGTACTGTTACATGTCAGGCGCTAGCTTAGATATTTTCTATCATCTTATTTCATTCTCATAGTGTCCAGTATTATAGGTCTTCATGCCTATTTATGGGTAAGAAAACTAGAATTGAGTCCCGCTTCAGTCTTGGATTTGAATCCAGAGCCTAGATTCAAGCTTGCATTTGCCTGACTACAAAGCTTAGGCTCCTTTATTGCATCTGAGATGTGGCGAGATGTCAAGAGCATGGAACTAAGAGGCTGAGTGGTTCTTTTGTCCATTTTTTGTCCTAAAGTCATCCCAGTGACTTTCCTCCCTAGAGGTAAGAGGCTGACTTCCTACCTGCGGCAGCCATGGCCTCTCCCAGTACTTTTTAGTCACTTGCTATGAAAGCCTGGGGCAACGTGGTGACTATTTTCTGACCCCCAAAATCAAGACAGATGATTTGTTAAGACAGCTTTTCTGGTTTACTGTATTATTCATGCAGAATGTCTTATATAGCTTAATTCTCACTTAAATAAACAGTTTGATAAACCACCTTTATTGGACATCTTTAAAAAGATGGAAGTCATGGGATTTCAAGGCACCCAGAAGAGAGGAAGAAAAAATGCACATGGTTGAAAGCTGGAGAGGGTGGAGTACCACCTCTCGTACTTCTCTTCACAGGACAGGGGTACATCCCCTTTCCCCCAGTCATGGCATAAAAACAAGGCCAAGGCTCAAGCCAGAAGCAAAGCGCTGAGACCTTCCAGGCCCTTTGCACAGCTGAGGGAGGGAGGAGTCTGGGTGCTGACCCTCTCCCCTGCTGTTCTAATATTTCCTTATTAATGATGCTTACTGGCTTCGGGATGATCTATAAGTGACAGTTTTGAACCCAGTTGACTCTTTGTCCTGTAAACAGAGCTGTCTAATTTTGTAGATAACCTAACCCCTTGTCCAGAGCCTCTTAATTCATTATTTCCATCAAAGTCCTGTCTCCAGCTCCATAACTCTGGGCTAAGGGGGTGTTTGGATAGCAGTCTTCCTGCTCTGATATTGTCAAGAGTTTGCCAGCAGGCTCTCCTGCTTGCCTGGGGCTGCCTAGTAGAAACCTTTACTTCTTAGACTATCTCCTTACAAAGGAGGAACTAGCCAGGTATTTAGCTCAGTGGTGCTGCCTCCCCTCCTGCCTCGCAAGCACAAGGTCTCAAGTTCAATCCCTGGCACTCCCCTCCCAAAAAAAATCTCTTTAAAGGTTCCTATAGTAGCAACTAGTCTCAAAATTAAAAATCCATTTGCTCATTTGCATTAGCCACATTTCCAGTGCTCATAGCCATGTATGGCTTATGGCTGCCATACTGGATAGAGCAAATAGAAGACTTTTTTCCAGTTTTAACGATGCTGACTCTAGAACACATGCTTCTGCTGAACTCCAAGTAGGTTCTGAGAATTTTTAGAAAGGGATTTGGTGTTAGGATTCTCTACTGTAGAACCCATCAATGGAAAAAAGAATCGAACTTCAGTGTGTTCTGATCCATGGCTGTTTACTGATCATCCGCGCATGGTGGGGAGGGGCTGGGATTGCAGATGTTGTAAATAATGGTCTCTGACTCTGAGAGCCTATATTCTTGGTTGAAAAAGTTGAGAGGCAAATAGAAGTAGATCCAGTCCTACAGTGCAGTGCCCTGTTACTGGAGATTGAGGGGTATGTGAAGGACCATGCAATCAGACTAGGAAGTATAATGAGGGAAGACTTCATAAAGGAACACACATTGGAGGTGCACCTAGAAGTAGGAAGTCTCCGGGTACATTGTAGGGAAGAGAAGGAAGGCAGGAGAGTAGCACAAATGTCTTAGGAGTTAGTCCTAGCTGAATGATATGTGCAGAGATCCAAAAGCAACCCTAGAGATTAAGGTATAAAGATATCATGTGTAGGAGGGAACGGTACAGTCAAGACTGTTCAGAAAGGGACTCCAAGTGCCAGTCTGAAGAACTTAGATGATATAAATAGTGTTATTTTATGTTTTGGAAGTTTTCGTGTGGAAGAATTCCATAATTAGAAAGACTTCTATGACTGTAAAGTTCAGGGTAGATTGGCATGGACAATACTAGGGCACTGTAGCTGAGTTGGAGGTTCACAGGCAACTAAAAGAAAACAAGGCCTGGACCAGGCAGCAGTGATGTGGGAATAGAGAGGGCAGCACAGGGCTAAGCGTTGGCAAGGAGGTTGTTGGCCATCAGTGAGTGGGAAAAGTTGGGGGTGACTGCTGGGTCTTCCCACTAGTCCAGAGGATGGGCACAGATTCATTCAGCCAAGATCAAGGAGCCTGGGGAGAGCACAGTGGGCGATGAGCTGCTCTGAGTTTGATTTGGGTGTCTGGGAAGCCTGAGGTGCCTGTGGAACTGGGAAATGACAGCCTAGGGAGATGTGGAGCCTCTGGAGGGAGGTTAAGTAACTGGAAAGTCTCTCCTCTGCTAGAAACCTGGGGTGTGGAGCCAGTAATTAACCATAGCTCTTTCCTGCTCCACTTGCGCCTGTGTTACACTCCCCCAGGTGCCCTTTACTTGTGCACAACTCCTGAGTGTGAGTGCCTGCTGTCGGGGAAGCCTTTTCCCAGATGATGCATGACCACCTCCTTTTCTCTTCTCCAATATTCAGTCAAATTTATGGTGCCCATATTCCTTAATCAGACTGTTATCAAACACTGAGTTGGATGAATTTGATTTAAAGCAGATTGTAGCACCAGCCAGTGACTGCTCCTGGTCCTAATCAACACTCCTTCACTCCCAGGAGGAGATACCTTGAGCTAGGTAGACTTTAATGGGCACTTCTACACTTAGGAGCACCAGCTACATTTTAGCCAGGGCCCTGGAAATTTGCCTCCCAGCTTCCCAGCATGGACCCTAAACAGCTACACCCTAAACCTGTAAATACTGTCTTCTTTTGCTGCAGTAATAACGACACTAATTCTATTGATAATGACTAACAGTGATACAGGATTTATTGCACCTAATTCCATTGTAAGTGCTTTGCATAGCTTATTTGTTGAGTCCTCATTGCTATCCTGTGAGGCTGGCGTTAATACTATTCCTGTTGCAAAAATGAGAATCTGCAAAGCTAGAAAGAGATGGAGTTCAGACCATCACCTGGGTCTATTGTGCTCCAGAGTGCAGGCTCTTTACTGTTACCCTACACTGAACTTTTGCTCCACCAGAGCCTTCCTAGAAGGTTTTACTTTGTGGAGTTGGTCCCGGAGCTATAGTCCGAGTCTGTGTGGGTGCCAAGATGGCAGTTTCTTTAAGGCTGTAGCTGACTGCTGCAGACAAGATGCATTTAGATGAATGGAAAAGAGACAACTGGACCTCTTCGCCCCTTCGTGGGATATAACTTACATAGTGTCAGCTTCAATTGCTGACTGAATGGTCCAGTGGTCTGGGGGATCCTGGCAGGAATGTTTTCCTTTCCCCAGCATGCTTGTGTGATAGGAACCTAGAAGAAGAATGGGTGTGTTTGTCCAGCTTTATGGCTTTGAATGCTGATAACTTACAGACAGGGACTACAGTGGCATCAGAACTGTGGAGTGGGCAGATGTGGAGGAGGCACGGCTGCAGCAGAAAGCCGGCCCATGGAACAGAGAACAACTTTGTTTATCAAAGGGTGGGATGTGGGTGTGGAGGAAAGCTCTGCAGTCAAACTGTGGAGACTGAGTGGGGGCTGGTTGGCTGGCTGCCAGCCCCCCTCCAATGCCAGGGGTCTAGGATAGCTGCCTGTTAAAGGAAATTTGGAAAAGACAGATTTTCTGTCCCGAAAAGAAAGAGCAGAACTGGCACAGATGTATAGGCCAGCCACTTGAGAGTTCCTTTATGTCCCCCAGGTCAAGACATAGCCAGGAACAGGTTTGGCACTGCTGGTAGGGATCTGGCTGACAGCCACACACCTGCAGGCTCTGCAGTGCCAGGATGTGCTCTTGGTGCAAGAGGTTGCTGAATGAGGGACAGCATTTTCTTTGCTTGGTGTGCACCCAGCAACCAGGCAGATGCTGACACTGCTTCCCCTCTTGCCCCACTTCATCTCGGCCCCATTCCACTCTTCCACATAGATACTAAAAAGAATTGGGGCTAAAGCCCTGTTTTTCTTCACAAGAGCGTAGACAGAGCCAGCCAAGTACAACATTGGCGTGACCTGTACTCCCCTCTTGATGCCTTCTGCAGATCTCAGCATCATGGAGACACCCAACACCCATGCAGGGCCCTGGGTGTGGAACACAGAGCTCCTGAGGTTGCCACCCGTGGTGGCATGCAGAAGCCTGTCCCAGTGGGCAGTTCAGAGCATGGCAGGATCAGACATGGATAATGTGGCACAGGGGAAATCTGCAGGTTGGGATTAGGAAGCCTAGGTTTGAACCTGGGCTCTCCAGCACTTATGTATTGTGTGACTTTAGAGAAGTCACCTATTTATCTGTATCCTCATCCCGAATGTAAAGGTTTCATCACTGCGTTGTTAGTTATCAGGAAGGTAAATTGTAAGAATGCATGAAAAAGGGGCCTAAGTAATGAATGTATAGGGGCAAAATAAATAGCCTCTCTGAGTCTTCGTTTCCACATGTGAACAAAAAAAATTGTGATTAATGTACTTTTTTATTTATTGAGACTATCCAATGAGATATAATGTATGTAGAATAAAGTTCCCAGCAGGTTACAAACTCTCAGCACATAATTCAACATGAATTTATCTGTAAGCCATTCTGGGAAAGTGTCAGTAAAGGGGTTAAAGCCATTGGGCCAGGTACAGAGAGAAACTGAGTCAGCCATCATAGCTCAAGTCAGTAACTGAGAGAAGCCCAGCTCAAATTGGGCTCCATGCCATGTGGTGGGCTCAGTGTTCTGGGTCACAGGTACCTGCTACTGTGGCCCTGCTGGTGCTTGAGAAATACAGGCATCTCTGGCCCTAGACAGAGCAAAGCTTTCCACAGGGAAGAGAAAATATTGTATCCTGTTTGCCCAGGAAGTCAAACTGCAGAGTTAACATAGAAAACAGTGGAGTCCAGTGGAGTGGAGGGCATTCTCAGGTGTTTTGAGCCCTGCCCAGACGGGCTCACTTGGCCTGGTATAAAGCTGCAGTGTCCAGCTCTGAACATGTCACCTGGAAGCAGCTGTGAAGCTTCCTTTCCCCGTGACTAAGCTGACATCTAAGGCCTGTGTAGAACTCACTCCTGCATTTCAGGCGGGTCCTGAGCCCAGCGTTTATAAACTGCTTTCCCATTAAGCACTTACCTTCTTGGTTTGGTGTTGTCTCCATCTCTGCTGTAAAGCGTACCCAAAGCATTAGGCCTTGGGGGGCCTAGTGGCCTGGTGCTCCTCTGTCTAAAACTTCTTGTCTTAAGGAGCTGCCTTCTACCCAAAGAAACAGACATCATCAGTTTTGAGCCCTCTCTGCCAGGACAGGCAAGGACACAGCCTCAGATGTTGGAAAAGCCAAGCCCTTAAGGAGTTAGACCAGGTTCCGAGTTCTAATTCTGCTGGTCCCCTGCCTTCTTTCTATTTGAGTTTCTCATCTTTACCTTTTTTTTTTTGGTACCAAGAATCGAACTCAGGGCTTTGCCACTGAGATACATCCCCAGCCCTCTCATCTTTACCATGGTAGTGATTACCTCACCCAGCTTGCAGGATTGAGAGAATTAAATGAGATAGTGCACATTAGTACCACCAGAGGCTAACACAGCATGGAGACTTAGTGTTTCCTTACCTCCTTGGCCAAAGTCAGGGATGTCAGGAAAATTTTTCATTGTGTATTAACTTTTGCCCTGCTGGAAACAGTGAACCAAAACAAAAATGACTGGTAGCCTTTTTCAGTGTTGTGGCAGAGGCTCACATAGAATCACCATGGCAGTTACATTTCAGCAAAAGCTGTATCCTAAAGTGGGCATTGTGGCACATGCCTATAATCCTAGCACTCTGGGAGGCTGAGGAAAGCAGAATTTAAGTTCAAGCCCAGCCTGGGCAACTAAGCAAGACCCTGTCTCAAAATTTTAAAAAAGAGCTGGGGATGTAGATCATTACAAAAGGCCCTTGGTTCATTCCCAATAGCACCCCAAAAAAGTATGTCTCCACATTGACATTCCAACACTTGTTTGGTTCTTGTTAGCCCAAGCAGGCATTATGTTATTTTGCAAGGAGCACCTCAAAGCTTGGAGAGGTCAAATGACCTTCACAGGGTCTCACAGCTGTTTGGGATGGAGCTAGAATTGAGCCCAAATCTGACTCTGCCTGACCTCGAGACAATCAGCCTGCAAGAGCTGTACTGGCCATAAACTAACCATGGATCTGCCTATGGATTCTGTTTCCTCACGGTCAGCCTCTTTCCTGTTGTAGTCGCCTTTAGAAGCAAGCTATAGGAGCCCTGTGTCTGCCCTTCCTGAGCTGCACTGATATCAGAGCCCCAGTTGAAATTGTGTCTGTTCCCCAGATTTAGTGATGAAGGGATGGAGGTAATCGAGCGGCTCATCTATCTGTATCACAAGTTCCACCAGCTAAAGGTCAGCAATGAGGAGTATGCGTGCATGAAAGCTATTAACTTCCTAAATCAAGGTGAGTATCTGGGGTGGGGCTGGGGAAAGGGATATATATATAGGGTTATATATATATATTTTTTTTTTTTAAACCAATGAGCATTTCCCCTCCTGTTTCATACCCACACACACACAGTCACACCATATGACTATCAGTCTTAGAAGGCCTGAACCTACCCCCCCTTGTCATCACCTGCCCAGGGCAGGAATGCTTTCGATATTTTCTCGAAACCTAAATGCCACAATCTCTATAACTCATAGACAAAGGAAGAGGATTTACTTTGTTTAGTCACTTTTCATGAATTTAAACACAGACACCAAGGACAGTACATGCGTCATTTAAAATATGTACCAAGTTTGCCAGTCATTGAAGAAGAGCAGAGTGACTGATGAAGCTGTTGGAGATAAGGCCTCTGTGACAGGCTGGCAGTGGTTCTGACACCCCTTTGGGAAGAATCGCAGTACACAAAAACTCACACGCGCATCAAGCATGGCTTTTAATTAGAAGAGTGCCAGATGTAATTTATGTGGAGTGTTACCTGCAAAGTGGCACTTGGTAGCTGCTGGTAACCAGCAGATGAAGAAGAATTTGTATTCTTTTTCTATAGTGACATGTGAGTGCTCTGCTCCTGGAGTGGAACTGGGCACTGTGGGTGTCTGTGGCCCTAAAAGTGTTTTTTTCCTGTGCTCAGTTTACCAGTCCAAAGACTTGTTCCCTTCCTCTTCTGCGTTCCCCTCCATGCTGGCCAGACCACCTCCCCCAGCCTCTGCACTATTTATGTGTCTATTTGGTGTCTACATGGCTCCCCGAGGACCAACCCCTATGCCGAGCACTAGCAACAGTAAAAGGAATTAGACCCCAGGTCCCTTGAGCAGTACACTCACTGATAGCACTTGACACATTCATTGCTCCTCTTCAGGGGAGGAGAAATTTGAGCTGGGCTTCAAAACCTGGGTAAAATTTATATAGAGGATGTTTTATTTCATATTTTACATATAAAATGCATGTGTATAGATAGATAGATGGAGAAAGATTTATATAGGAAAATAGAGGGACAGCCCACAGAGAATGTAAGAACAGAGAAGTGTAATGATCATGTCTGTATTTGTGTGTGGTGTGTGTGTGTGTCTTTTGGGTGGGTGTTATGTATGTATTTTACATGCATGAACATGTTGGTATCAGCAAGAATTCTAGTTGGCTCCAGCATTAGGCAAAATCAAAGATACTGTGAAAGATAAATTTGAAAAGATAGGTTAATCATTCACATGTTACTCCTTCACTGTTGCCTGTTTTGTTCTGTGCCCTGTGCTGGGAACTGAGTGTGAAGTTGAAAAAGACACACCCTACCTAGCCTTAAAGTCTAGTAACTGTCCTTAAACATATATTTTTCTCTTATTTCTCATCTTTTATCCAGAATTTAGGTCCTCCATATCAAAAATATAAACGATCCCTATTGTGACTGTTTTTACTTGATTTTTTTTTTTTCTTTTTGGTACTGGGAATCAAACTCTGGCCCTTGTGCTTGCGAGGCAGGCAGCAGAACCACTGAGCCAAATCCCCTATTGTGACTGTTTTTAATTGGAAGACACAGGTACTCAGTAATGTGTGTTTCTACCTTAGGAAGCCCCTCCCATTCTCTTGTGTGATTTTCTTCACAGATATCAGGGGTCTGACCAGTGCCTCACAGCTGGAACAGTTGAACAAGCGATACTGGTACATTTGCCAGGATTTCACTGAATATAAATACACACATCAGCCCAACCGCTTTCCTGATCTCATGATGTGCTTACCTGAGATTCGATACATTGCAGGTAACATTCTGTGTCCTGGTCTTCCATCCTTTCCTTCTCTTAGCTTGTGAAACAGTGTTTTCAGGAGGCTAATTCCATGCCCATCGCCACCTGCATAAAAATGTACTGCCCTCGCCCTCAGACAATTTCCATCATAATGGAAGTTTGTATTTTCTTTGTAGAGAAGAGAAATACACAATTCCTAAACTCCTATGGTACTTTGTGGCCTTATGCAGTCTCAGAACAGTCTCTGCAAGACTGATGCTTGGTGATACTAACATCCTGTGGATGGGAAGACAGAGAATCTCAAATTAACTTCATGTACTGAAATGCATACTTTTGTGTGTTTGTGGTGCTGGAGATGAGACCCAGCACTAGGCTAGCATTCTACCACTACACTCCATCTGCAGCCCATGAATTGTGTACTTTAAAATAGTGAATTTTATTTATTTATTTTTCCATTAAGTTTATTGATACATTTAAGGTAAACAATACAGTTATGTTCATCATTGGGATCTTGTACTTTTACGTGATGTATCTTGGTTCTTACTTTTTCCCCATTCTCCTGCCCTCCCTTGACCCCTTCCACCCTTCCCTATTTACAAAGACTTTGTTTCCATTTTTCCTTTTTTTCATATTTTTTCTTTTCCCTTATAAAATAGTGAATTTTATATGCGTTTTATATCTCAATTTAAAAAACTAATAGGATTTAGTTTTCAGGAATCATGGAAAGTGCTATCTTTAAAATCCTGTGTTTGCAAAAGAATTTTTTGTGTTGGGTGTGTCTTTGTGTGTGGTCTTGACCCCTTCTGAGCTTGACATTTAATACGTCCATTTTACTGCATAATCTTAGCTTTTTGTTGTTGTTTTTTTACTTCATTTAGTAAAGATTCTTGTTTCTAGCTGTCCAATGTATACCTAGAGGCAGCTTAAAAATGTGACCTCTAGACCAGGATTCTTCCTGCAGAATTCATAAATATAATTTTCACATGAAAAACTTGGAATGTGACAGGAGTTTTTTTGCCTACCTCTTGGGCCACAGAGCAGTCTTGCACAAACTGGTCCTGACAGCACTTTGACTCACCTGGAAACTATTTTTTTTTGCGTGGGGGGGATTGAACTCCGGTCCTTGCACTTGCAAAGCAGGCCACCGAACCGCTGAGCTAAATCCCCGGCCCTCACCTGGAAACTTTTTTAAAAAAAAATTAATGTTCACTTTGCACTTTCACACACTGACATAATTGGTCTGAGGAGTATAATTGGGCATCGCTGGTTTTTAAGTTTTCCCAGGTGATTCTAAGTTACTCCCAAGGAGAAGCAGCACAGTCTTAGCCATTTACAAAATATATTAGCACACTAAATGATCAGAGAAGCCCTTCAATAAAGAAACCTATAAGACTGCTTTAACCCTGAATTTCACAAATTTCTGTTATACTGTTTTGTTTTCAATGCTAGAGATTCTACTAGGAAAAAAAAAAGACAAAATAAAATTCTGGTATTTTAGCTCTTAAGAGGGTTAGGTAGGACTACCTTTCAGTCTCAGATTCCTTATCTATAAAGTGTGATAAAAAGGAGCATCTATCACATGGAAAATTACGAGACTCAAAGGTAATGCATTTACCACCTAGCACAGCAAGCATTCATGGATAGCAGAATGATAACAGGCTCCTGAGGACTCCACAATGCTTAGATAGTAGACACCAGCCCCATCTGACCTTTACAGTCCTCTGGCACTTCCTGCCTGGTGACGTCTTCTTTCACCAGTCAAGAGAAAGCAGGCTCACCCTTCTGCTAGTGGCCACTGATAATTCCTCTTCTACCTTTTCCCAGGAAAGATGGTGAATGTCCCCCTGGAGCAGCTGCCCCTCCTCTTTAAGGTCGTGCTGCATTCCTGCAAGACAAGTGTGGTCAAGGAGTGACCTGTTCCTGCACCACAGAGCCTTGAGTAGGCAGGACAGGCTCAGGAGGAGAGAGCCAGAGACCAAGATGGAGGCATGGAGCAGTTGCCTCCATAACGAGAAGAGTTTTTGTTTGTTTGTCTGTTTTTTAACCTCATTTTTCTATATATTTATTTCACGACAGAGTTGAATGTATGGCCTTCAACATGATGCACATGCTTTTGTGTGAATGCAGCAGATGCATTTCCTTGCAGTTTACAGAATGTGAAAATGTCTAATGTTACAGTGTTGTCATTGTTTAGAGATAGTTCTTTTGTATTTTGAGGGAGAGGGTGGGATGGGCTGAGATGACTATTTCCATGTTGACAAAGATGACTACCTCAATGGAAATGGGGGTGTGATCATCCCTACAATTTCCACTTTTTCTCAGCAGACTTATGTATTTGTCTGTCAGAGAGCAAACTGCCTTTTTCTAGCCATGTATTTGTCAAGTAAGAGTACACGAAAGGAGTGGAGTGGTGGCAGGAGATTCACTAAGCGAGATAGCAAGATGTGTGGAACAGGAGATGAGGGTTGAGCCGTCTCAGTGGAAAGCATGAGAATTGAGAGCAGGGCACAGTGACCAGATGTAAAGTAGGTGTCCTCTCAGCAGGTCGGTCCTAAGGGCAAAAAGCCTTCTGTCCTCACACCCTGCTGCCCTCCTCTCCCTTTGCCACCCCTATCCATTTCTGCCACTGTCAACTGTTCATCCAGCAAGAACCTGGCAATAAGTCAATCCAAATGACTTGCCTACCAGCTCCCTTGGGGGCTCACAGCTACCTAGTTTCCTATCTGATCTTCTAAGACCTGCCCTTCTCAGACTCCTTCCCTCTCCTTTATAAGTTTGACTTCCTCTCAACCCTTTGAAAAACTGAGCAAAATGCTATGTTCTGAATCCTGATGCCACTCATTTAGTCTCTCACTTCTTTGCTTCAAAGTCTAGTAAGATGAAGGCCAAGCTGCTGAAAGAATAACTTGCCCCACTTACCACCACCCCACCAAGAGGACTCAATCTAAAAACTGGTCTCTTTTGTAAATAATGGAAAGGACTAGTCCTGCTTCTGGCCCAGAAATGTTGCTCCTAAATCCTACTCCAGGTTCTCCTAATCTCTCCAGAATAGGACTAGGTTTTCTCAGGGCCCCTGAACAGAAAGCCTAGAGTAGCCCAGCTACTTTTGTGAATCAGTGCCTGGCCAACCAAGGCCTGGAGGGCTGGGGCCTAAAGCACCTGGAAGGGAAGGGGGATTCTAAAACTACCTCATATTCCTAAGGGCCTGTCTGCTACCTCTACATGTTCAGCCTACACCCCTTTTCTTTCACTGCCTGCCCCACCTCATCCTGGGAAGTGTTCCTGCCCCTCTGGACTTTGGCAAGGGCCATACCATGCTGTATCGGAGTTCTTTCAGGTGCTTTTCCCTTCTCTGCCTTAATGCAGCGTTTGTTCCCGCCCACACTCAGGCACCTCTGGCAGCCAGTGCTCCATCTAGACCATGCAGTGGGTGTGTCCTTGGGAGGGCTTTAGGGGCCCACGGTACTTCCTGTGGCTGTTTGGTCAAAGACTGTTTGCTCTCCCCTGGCTCTGATTCAGCCTTGTTAACCTATCCAGGTGACCACCACAGTGTGAGCATACTGGGTAGTCTACTTCTGTTTATAATTTTTCTTTTTAGTGAAATGTTACGGGTACCAACCAGCAAAGGAGTGATGTTTGTCCTTTGCTGGATCTAGAACTCAAAATGTTACTCTTCAATGCCATTTCCCCAACTGTTATAAGAAAGAAAGAAGAGATATGTTCTTCAGGAAAAGCTCCAACTAGCACATTTTTCATATGGCAGTGGGAAGATTTATGTGTTCATATGTGTCTGTTTATTTGTAAGTTCATAGTATCTTTCTTGTTTTTCTGAATTTTTTATTTAACCAATTAGATCATATTCTGTGGCTACAGGTCAGTTTCCGAGCTGCTTTCCTTAAATAGGGGAAAACACATATATTAGAGACCCCTTCTCTAAGACAGCGCCTGTGTGCAGCATCTTTCCTTGCTTAACCTCTACTTATGAAATTTTTACTTTTTGAAATTACGTTTCAAATTAAGCATTTTACCCATTGTGTTGGGTGTCAAAGGAAATTGCTCTCTGATTAAGCAAGAACATTAAGAGAACGTTAAGCTCTCCGATGAAGCAATATTCCGATCATACAGTATTAAACAGAGCAAGTTGTTAATTTGTAGAGTGGAGAAAGGTTCTGCAAGTTGCCATTGTACAGATCCATTTTTACGAATGTTTGCAGCAGATTCCACAGAACAAAGATCCCATTCATTGCCGAGAGCCCTGCAGAATATCTGAGCCAAGTGGCTGTGTGTTCCAAGCCGGAGCCTGACCTGTTGGACCTCCTTTAATGTCTTCTGCACCCAGCCCTTTTATGACGTGGGCTTCTTTTAAACAGGGTAAAGTGAATGTGTTGCATTGCAAACTCAGGTATTATGAGGAGAAGGTAGGAGTGTAGCTAGCAGTGTGGAGACATTAGGTCAGCCACTAGATGTATTTGTGAATTTGGTTTGAAGGACACAGAGAAAGGTTGGAGGGGAAGGTTTGGCTTGTTTGTTTTTTGCCATAGTGTTTGGTTAACAGGCAGCCTTTTTGCTGGTGGAAGAAGAAAAAAGTTGTATGTGTTGTCTCAAATTCCTCTGTCCTCTCTCTGATCCTAGCCACCAAAAGCACTCACTTTGAGTGAGTTTTCCACCATAAAAATATGACCCTGAAAGCTGTGTGGAAAAGGAGATTCCCCACCTCCTTGCACTACATTGAAACATGCAAGCTTTTCCCTTCCTTTACTCTTGGACACTTTCTTAACCCAAGACGATAGTTTGGATTCCTGGAGCTTCATCGCTAATTCATTCTCTCTGGCTCCCTTTGTACACTGTGGAGTCCTTTGCAAGGTGTGGTGCTCTTGCCCTTTCTGGAGAAATTGCCCAGAACCTGTCTAAAGTGCTTCACCTAGCTCACAGGACATCCACTCTGTGCCTAGCCTGTAAGAGAGGTGGTTCAGCCTCCAGGGGTAGAAGGAAATAGGCAGGAACTTTCCTGTCCTGATCCCAGAACCAAAGCAGGCACAGGGGAAGCCTAGAAATCTTTATGGCTACACTGAAAGCCACCCCACTTCACACCAGCCTGCCTCTGCCCTGCCCCACTTCTCAGGGAAGTGATCTGCCATGTCAATGTCATCAGATCTTTAAAACCCTGGCCCCTCTGGGCTAGCTGCCCTGCTCTGCTACCCATTCCCTCCCTACATTTGCTAGTTCTTAGTTTTCTGGGGAATGGAATGGAGAGAGACAGACAAATTAGTGTAGGCAACATCTAAGCCATGACTAAGGCTGGCCAGAATAAAGAGACCCTAGCTTCCCAGCGGGGCAGAAATTTGAGCAGTGGTTCCAAATTCTTAGCTTTGGGTGCCTGATCTATGTGTTTTTCCTTGTTGCTTTTTAAATTTTTGCTTTTAAGAAATTTTAGTCTTCAGACTAGTCCTTTTTATTAAATTTTTCTTTATTGATGGTTAAAAAAATAACAACAACAAGAAAACCTAAACAAGACCCCCACTCCTCTTTCTCCCCATACCTTGATCCATGAGAGGCCCCCACCACTCCCTTTTGCCTCTGTGGTTGATCGTCCTCCCTTTTTCCTCAGCTGGAAGCATCACTGTCCAGTATCTGTGAAATGATGTTTCATCTGTGTCTCAGGATGAAAAATGGCAATCATCCCTCCAGGTGCTGGAAACTGGCTAGCCTTGAGGTGAGGGTTTCTAGGGCCACAGCTCAGGGATGTGTATTTAACTACAGGGTCCCCAGAAACCCCTCTCTTGGCTGCTATAAGCAACATCTCCTTTTCTGGGCTTGGGAGCCAGACCCAGATTGTTTTCCTTCAGAGGCAGGAGACCCAGAGAGCCTGCTGCCTTTCTCCTTGGCCTTCCTGGGCCACCTTGAGACTTGAAGACATCTGACTGTCTTGCAACACGAGCCTTGGTGGCCCTGCCTCTGCCAGCTCATAATCCTGGCCCCTCTGCCCAGTTTGTTCTCCATCTGACCTCCCTCTTCTGGGCCTGCAGCTCTAAGTGGGCCAGGGCTTGCTCAGGAATCAGCTGAAGGCTTGAAAGGAAGCTGGGAGGAAGGCCAGAGCCTGCTCCAAGCCCAAGAAAAATGCTGAGATCCTGGCAGAGGCTAGTCTTCCAAATCCTGGAGCCAGGCCTGCCAGCCAAAGGATCCTCTTTGCCTGTTGGTGACTGTTGTTTTCTTTGCTGAAATATCTTCTTATAGGTGATAATGTTGTTGACTCAAATTTCCATGAAAAAAAAACAAGAAAAACAAAAAAAACTACCTCTCGAGTAACATCCTGGTCGATTCCTCTCAGAGGAATCCTGTGGGAAAAGAATACTGCAGCTCCCGCGCTGTTTACATGTTTCTGTCGGGAAAGAAACCCTGCCTGCCCTGGGGTGTTGGTGTTTTTGTCTGTGTTGCCATCCCAGGCCTGCGATAGGGGCTTGTGGCTGCATTGTAATGTCTGGCTGTGTCTCGGGAGTCCTTCCCACCTGCCCAGCGAGGGACAAGTCGCCCCCTTGAAGAGGCCTCCATCTCCCTCCTGAGCTCCAGGCATGGGGAACACCACCTCCTACAGCACCATCCTTGGGGTCTCTGATGGCGCCTGCATTGTGAACCTGCCCTGGGCTGCCCACCTGGGTCCATCTTCACCCACAGTCCTGGGGAGGAATCGGGTGAACAGGATGTCTCTGAGCCCTTGTTCCCAAAGGGCCGGCCAAGGGCTGCCTGCAGCCTGGCTCCATCTGCCCTGCATGACCAAATGGTAGTTGGCGGGCTCTGCAGGCTACTCAGGCCCTCTGCTACCTCCCACACCTGCCTGCCGGCAAGGGATGGGCCCTGTCCTGTGAATTGACTACCTGTGGAAATGTGACCAGTTAGTGTGAAATGCATGTTTAGCAAGTAATAGGTACTGTATTTGAACCAATAAATGTGAATCCTGCACACGCATCTGGTTGTGAAGCTTCTCTGGAGCTCTGCGGTGGGAAGTGGGATATGCTGAGGTGCCCCTGCTCATGCTGAGGCCCATGTTGATTTCCATGGCTAAGGTCCTGGCAGAAGATAACAGTTCTCAGAACTGTGTGACCCAGTGAGGCAGCAGTGACTGCAGTCCTTGCTCTTTGAGCCAGGCACAATGTTGGGTCTTTTTGTGAACCTGAGTCTTCCTCAACTTTGAGGATGATGTCTTCTTTTTCATAAGCAAAGGCTGCAAAGGGTAAAGCGACTCATCCAAGACCAGCCAGCCACCAGGTGGTACACCTGAGGAGCTGAGTCTGTTCGGAGAGGCACATGGACCTTAGCCATGCCAGAAGAAAGGCCTAGGGAGAGAGCAGCTTGTGCTGGAGTCCGAAGGAGCTTCCCAGGAGAGTGGTATTAAAGGCAGCCTTGGAAGCAGGTCTGCAGGCCAAGAGGAGGACAGACCAGGTAGCAAGATCAACAGCATGTTCAGAGGCCTCTCAGTGAATGAGAAAGGTAAGGAATGTTCAGAGTGCAGGGCTGTGCTGGCCGGACTGTAAGAATGGTAGGGAGTAGGAAGAGTAGAAGCTGGAAGGGCCGGTGATTTAGCTCGGTTCTGCCACCTGCCTCACAAGCACAAGGTGCGAGTTCAATCCCTGATACAAAAAAAAAAATTGGGCTGGAGAGTGGCAGCTCCCAGAGAGCTCTTGCTGGGACTCACGAGAGCTGTACCGCCCTGACCACGGTGTGCTGGGGCATGGTCTGCCTTGTGTGGTCTGTGGTCTCACCTGCTTTCTAGAAAGTACATGATGTCTCTGACTAGCTCTTCTAGAGCTGATGAAATGGTGGCATTGAGGGACATGGCCAGAGTCACACAGTGTCAGAATTGGACCTTGACTCCAGATCAACCTGTTTTTGTTTTTTGTTTTGTTGGGGTTTTTTGTACTGGGGGTCACACTCGGGACCTGCTTTGGAGGTAGATGCAGCGCCACTGAGCTGAATCCCTGGCCACAGATCAGCCTAACTTAAAAGCGCACTGTCCTATGACTGCTCATACACTCAAGTGGTATAGTTGGGTTGAGGGCTGGACGAAGACTGGCAGGACACAGTGGCTGTGCCGTCGGGAAGATAAAGGCTGACGAGGGCATGACTGTGAGACGGGGGTGGGGGTGCCCAGCTGCCTCACCACGCCTCAGCCCCCAGCACACAGCACCAGAGAGCCCTTGAGTCTTGAAAGAGGTGGTTTTGAATAAAGGAGCTGCTACAGAAGGAGCGACGGGCTGTCTTCACCACCCTGCAAGAGGGACAACACGCACAGAGGTGAGGAAAAGGATGTGCTGGTTACCGCCCACACCCACTCTCCCCTGGTGGTGTCTCTCGTAGTCCTCAGAACAACCTCGCAGGCTTTAGACCCCAGCTCCAGTTTACAATGAAGCAAACAGGCTCGGGACAATGAAGCCATTTGCTGGGATGCACGAAAGAGGAGCAGAATTAGCTTTTGAATCCAGGTCTATCTGATACCAAAGTTACAACAGCCTCCTCCCTGTTCAGCCTTACAGTTCAGTAGTGAATATGTATGTCTGGAGTTTGTAACAAAGCACAAGAGTGGCCTTTGGTTGAACCTTGTATATTCAAACAAAACTCTATGAAAGTAATAAAGAGTTAATTCTATATAAAAAGTAGATGAACAGACTCAGCCAAGTTGAACTGAGAAGTTCTGTCCCAAACGTGTAGAATGCCAGATACTAAGTCTATAATTCTCAGAATGTAGCATCCAATGTTTCATCAAAAAAAAAAAAAAAAAAAAAAAGTTCAGCTGCCAAAAATGTAGGAAATGCTGCGCTCTATTGTCCTCCCACTGATCTCCGCTCTTGGCATATATAAGACTGCAGAGTCCTACCTGAGAACTCACTTTGTTTAGCCCAGGTTCTACCAAAAGTATTTGAGCACTGGACATTTTCCCCTGGTGTTCAGATTCTATTGAGATGATAGTCCATGGAATAAAATTTAGGACACTGCTGCCCATGTAGAAATTGCTACTTAAGTAACACAGCTCTTGGCTTCTTGGGAGTGCCCAGCAATAATCCAGAAATAAAGAACTATAAAGTCAGCCTAATGGTGCAGTTCAGTGGGTGCTTAATATACACAAGGCTCTGGGTTCTGTCCCCATCACTGAAATAATGTAGAGTAAGGCTCTGTGGTCATTTTATTGTGGGTTAAATTACTGTTTGCCCAGAGCAAAATGATAAGTAATGATACTATGGTGATCCCATTTTACAGATGAGGAAATCAAGGCTCAGAGAGGGGAAGTAATTTGCCTGAGGTTATGGAACTAGTGAGAGCTCAGGAGCTAGCAAAAACTGGCATGGAGTACCTATTCCTAACACTCCTAGGAGTGCTAAGAGCCTCCTTAGGCCAATCTAGGACAACTCGGATTATATCTTTATCACCAAAGGGTCTGCAGCTAGTGGATGGCAGAAGGTGCTGGGCCGAGGTTGGGTCTTACACGCAGGGTCCTACCTGGCCAGGCAGCCTGTGAGACCAGGCATGTTGCCCGAGGTCTCACACTGATTCCATCTTTCCCCTTCCCACTTGGTGCCACTTTGTTTCAGGGGACTCCTCTGAGCCTCACTTTCCCTGTCAGGAAGAAGAGCTAATATGCCCAATGGCGCAAGGGCTTCCAGAGGATTGTGGCTGGCTCAGAGGGCTCAGTGAAACTGTGTGGGGAGCCACTGCCCCTGCACCTCAACAACAGACACTCAGCAGAGCCAGGAGCCACCTCTCAGGCTCAGCTTGGCCTCGGCCTGGCTGCCCGTCAGGGTTTCGTGTCCACGGTGGCGGCAGCCTCTCCAAGCCTGTGGCAAAAGTGCCCAACTGCCAGACCCAGGGCTCTTGGAGTCTTGTTCCCTTGGCAACAAGTCTCACCATGGAGACCACAGCCCCATCCTTGCCCTCCTAGCAAGCTCCATCTCCACAAACATCTGTTCACAGCCTGGTCCTAGGAGCAGTTGTAGGCACTGGGGCACATTAGGGAAGCAGTTGCACAGGGTGAGGAGTTCAAGGCACATCCCAGCAACAGCAAGGGGAGCTCGGTGTTCTGAGTGTTCACTTTCTGCCTGCCTAGGTTTAGGTAGATAGCCAGACACCCACCCCATTTTCCGAGAATGAAAAACGAGGTTTGAAGGTAGCAAGGACCATACCACAGTCTCACAACTGGTCAGAGCTGGAGCAGAAATGTGGGTTCAGGACTTCTGACTGCATCTGCCCCCTCCCCACTGTGGCCAGGACAGCCTGCAGCTGCCATGTCGGGAGGGCTGGATAGTTGGGTGGACCCCCGCTCTACCTTAGATCTCTGCTGCCAGCACCAGTGGTAGCCTGTGGCCCTTGAGGCCTGGGCTGGGCCCAGCAGCAGTGGAGGAGCTGCACTATTTTAAGCCAGGGCCAAAGGGCCCCATGTGGGCATAGGGAGGGTGGCCTCAGGCCCTTGGCCAGCTTCCCGGAAGTCACCATGGCCTCCCTCCTCTCCCCTGAGCAGCTCTCTGAGGCAGTCACTTCCCTGCAAACAGGAAGGAGGCCCTCAGGCCAAGACCTCCAGCCCCAGCTTCCTCCCCTGCCCCCCTAGTCTTCTCTAGTACATAGGGGAGCCCGTAGCTCCAGACCCTGATCCTTGTCCTATCCAGGCTGACTCCTGGCAGGTGGGTGAAAGGGGGCCTGAACTTTTGCTGCTGCCCCAATTCTTCCATGCCAGTGCTCCATTGTCCTGGACCCTTTGTCCCTCACCATGGCCTGAGTTGTATCCTCAGAAGCTGGTCACTATGAGCCAGAAAGAAGAGCAGAGATTTCCCCAGGTTCCATCCCATGAAAGATGGGGGTGTGGGGTGGGGAATAAAGTAGCAGAGAATTCAATTGGGACAATCCAAAAGATACAGGAGTAAACAGTGACGGATCCATCATGGCAGAAGCACAATTAGATGCCCAGAGAGAAAGCAGAGAGAGCATTCAGAGACACCAGCCATGGCTGCAGCAGAAGGGGGCTGAAAAAGCAGGGAGAGGACTCTTAGCAGTGGCTCCTGACCACTCCCCAAATGCAGGCCTGTCTCAGGGCTGTGGGGGGCCCAGCGGCTGTATGGCTGAAGAGGAATGTGGGGAGCAAGGCTGGGTCACCCCTTGAGGGCCAAGCGTGTGCACCGTGAGATAAGCTACCCAGGAAGGGCTTCCAGCTGCTCTGCCTGCTCCAGGAGCTAGGAGAGGCCTGGGCCCAAGGCTGGAGACCCCCCAGCTGCCAGCACCTGCCTCACTCGGGGGGCCTCGGTCAGGCCTCGTCTAGAAGGTCTCGGGGCACCAGTCCTGCCTTTTGAGGCTCTTCTCGGGCGCCACCAGCTCTGGCTGCAGTCTCAGCTCTGCACACCGCCCCCCACATCTGAGGAAGCACATGGACACGTGCACACAGGAGTGCGCAATGCCACACGGGGGACAGCTCACCACGGCACCTCTCTGTACCCTCCCGCCTGCTGGTTCCCCTGCCTCACCCTTAGTCCTTTCACCAGAGATGTATGTGCCCACATGTTCCCAGGAGCCCCGTTCTGCCTTCACAAGTGTCCCTACTCAGTCTAGAGAAGTGACCCCCAGGGGCACCTGGCCTCTCCCACCCCCCCACCAGGTGGTCCAACCAGGACAGCCACAGGCAGAGGGGGAAGAGTGTGCAGGTCTAGTGCAAGCCTCCAGCCCCCCTCCCCACACTGCAGCTGAGGCTCCCACCGGCCACGGCCTTGACCCAGCACTATGGACTTCTCTGACATTGGCATCGGATCTGAACATCTGGCAGCAGGCTGATAAGGGGTGCAGCGGAAACAGCCTCTGCTGCTGCCAGCAGGCCCTCCCCTCCACTGCCCGGGATGGGGAGCAGGGTCTCTGCATCCACCCCCTACCTCCCCACCCTGCCTCCAGCTCCGAGAGCCCCTGCCCCTCTCCTTATTCTCTGCTGCTCCTCTCTGTGTCTCTGTCCTGCTGAATCTCTCTCATGCCCCCTCCTTGCCCATCTGTGGGTCTGTTTTGCTATCAATGCGTCTTCCTTCTCTTTCTCTTTTTCTGATTCAGTCTTTCTATAGCTTCTCCTTTCTGGCTGTCTCTCTACACCGTCCCCCTAGTACAGCCCAATAATTCTGTTCCTCTCCCCTCAGTTTCAGTTTCTGGGTCTTGGATTTATTTGTCCTTTATTACCTCCAGGAAATAAGCCTGGCACTTTGGGGAAGTCCCTGCTCAGGACAGAGATCCTGGGCTTTGTTTGTCTAGGGTGGAGGGAGTCCATGGCAGGACTACACCCCTTGTCTTCCTGGTGGGTCTCATGGCCTGGGACCACCTGGGACTGGACTTTGAAGGAAAGGACAAATGGACAGGCCACCTAGGACTCTGCACTCTGAGCCTGCAGGCCCAGGCTCAGGGGTCCCACTGCCCGGATTCGAACACTGAGCCCATCACCCCTTGGCTTTGGGCTCTAGTCCTCATCTCTCAAATGCTACTCATGGGGGTGAGGGAAGACTACTCCTCCTATCCTGGGATTCTGGAGAGGGCTTGAGACTGACCAAAGGAGAGGAGTGGTTCCTAGTGGACCCCACACACAGCGGGTGCTTTTGAGTTAAGGTCAGCTGTTCCCATGCTGCTGTGCCTAGTCTCCTCCTGTCCCTGTCCCCCCTGGAGTACAGGAGGGCCATGGAGAGTAGGGGAGAGGCAGGCCAGAGGAAGGGGATGTTGTGGAGACATCCAACATCAGTTAGGGGACAAAGAGCACCAGTCTTCATGGTGGCAAGTGATAGCGGGCACCTACAGAGGAGGAGGCAGCAGAGCCCTGTACCCACAGGCAGCACAGGTGTAGGCACAGCAGTCCCATGCGTGTTCTGTGCCAGCCACTTTGGACCCAGAAAGAAATCTGGCCTCTCCTTGAGGCCCCCACTGAGGTGAGTCACCCATCACAGAAGGGCAGGTGGTATTCAGCATGATGTTGCAAACTCAACACAGGCCTGCAGCTGGTGGTTATTTGGGTTTTGCTGACATATACAGAGCACACATGACACACCAGGCAGCCACTGAGCATGCGACCTGTACTGCCTCTTGTTGTCCCCACTGTACAGGGAAGACACGAGGCCCAGAGCGGGGACATGAGCGGTCCCAGGTCACACAGCCAGAAGTAACAGAACTGGGATTTGATCTATAGTCTGCCAGTGACTCAACTTCTCAGTTCAAGGACTCACCAGGATGCCACGGGAACCCAGCCTGATTATTTCTACGGCATTGTGACATTGAAAGAGGACATTTGTCTTGCCTAAGAAGACAGGAAAAATGGACTCTACTTCATAAAGCTCCCATTAAAAGACAAGCAAAGAGCCATGATTTTGTTGTTGTTACAGTATTTAACATATTGGTGATTATGGAGTATTTGCTGGCATATTCCTCTGCTAAATGAGTGATGAAAGACCTTAACTCAAAAACAAAATCACTAAATTAAACTGGGGAAAAAGTAAATAATAAAATAGGAAAGTAAAAGAGGACTAACCAAATGAAATAAAAATAAAATGGAGACCTTGGAAGTGTATCTTGTATTAGGTGAAAAAGACATGAATATGGGACTGCATGTTGGGAAATAAACTGTGTATAATGTGGGTAGAATTAGAATATAATCAGAATAAGTGATGAGTATCTGTAAATTGATTTTTATATGTTCACAATTTTTTAAATTATTACCATAGTGAGAAAAACAAATACTAGATTTTAAATACAGTTGGTTTGATTATAAAAAAAAAAAAAACAAACAAAAAACACTTCTCCTGCCAAGTGAGGGGTTTTGCATTATTTTTCCAATTTTCCTTAAATGAAGGAGTGGATGTGGGCATGGGTGTAGCAGGGGGTTCTCAGCAGTGACTGTCCCTTGGTGTCCCTGTGCCCCTCCTCACCTCAGGACAAATGGCTGGGACAGACATCCTCCCTGTCTTGCACTGTGGGGTTCCCAGGGCCTGGAACAGTGCCTGGCACCTCGAGCATGAAGCCAGTATAAGATGAGAAAGGAGTGTACAGGCAAGCAAGTCATGCGTGGAACAGGTACAGGGCCCAGCAGTCTGGGCCTGACAGGACCTGGAGGTTGGACAGACACAGCGCCTGGGTGGGGAGGCCTGGCCTTCTGGATCACACTCCTTCACTCCGCCCAGTTCCGGCCTGACCTGGCTGCCACTTGGTCCAGCCTGGGGTCACTCTATCTGACCACCTGGCTCCAGAAGCATTCTCAGCCCGACCTCAGTTTCCCTGCTAGGACTGGGAATATCCACAGCATGGTATATGGCGACATTCAGAGGAGCCAGTGTTGACTGCGCGCATGAGGTATTTGTCAGCTCACCTACTCACCTCTGCCCTGCTCTCCCTTTCTTCACCTTCCAGAAGAGTGAAGGACCAGGCCAAAGCCACTTATCCACCTGGTCCACCTCAGCCTACCTGGTCAGGTTATCCAGGCCCCTGTCTCCACATTGTCCAACCCATTTTCTCTTCCATGTCTGGACTGAGCCGAACCACACTGGGCCAGGTCCCAGGGAGGAAGCCATTCAAGGGGGGAGAGGCTAGGCTGCAGGCCAGCTAGGGGAGCAGCCCATAAATCAGGTCCCACTCCCACCCAGTCACTAACAAGCGGGCTGCTACCCGCCTCCGTGGGGTCCCTGCCTCTGGGCTCCCACAGCGGCCTGGAGCAGCCAGCTGGCCAAGGCCTCCAGAGTGCCTTGGCCTCTGCCCCCACCCGCGGCCCCCAGATAGATAGGGGTAGTTCTTTTTTTTCCTTTTAGGAGAACAGAAAAAATAGACCTAAGTGAAGAGAAACACCAACAAAGGAGGAGAGAGGCCTGCAGAGTCACGTGGGGGCAGAGACCAATTGGGCCTCCGGTAGCCACCCCCCAGCGGGGAGGAGGAGGAGGAGGACGGACGGACAGGGCCAGTTTGCTGTCCGCCCGCCGCCCACTGTGGTGGGAAGGAGTTCCTGCGCACCCACCGCCACCATTGCCCCACCTGGGCGGCCGGAGCCTCCCTGCCCCAGCCCGTGCCCGCTGTGCACCCTCATCCGGTGTGAGAGCTCTCCTTCCGCTCTGTAAGTGAGGGCCCGGGCCCAGGCCTCTAATGGCCAGCCTCCCCACTCACTGCCTCCCTCTGGCTTGGGCCGGCCACTGCCCGCCCTGCGGAGTCACCAGTGCCCACTGCTCTGGGAAAGGAAGTGGCCAGGGGTCTCCCCAGACCTACCGTCCCATCATGCTATCTCCTCTTCTTCCCTGGGCCGCTGATGGGAGGAGCTAGGCCTATGGCGACAGACCTTGTGGGGTCCGAGTGTGTCCTGCTATCTAGCAGTGCCTGGGTGCTCACCCGGGGTTGTTAGCTGGAGCCTGGTGGGCTGTGCATGTTTGTGGGACTCTCTCTGGATCTTGGGGTATCTGGTGTGTGCGGTCTCTCTGGAGATACACGAATCTGCATGTATGTGAGTGTCTCCAGTGTCCATCTGTCAGGTTGGCAGCTAGGCCAGGGTCTGTGTTCATGGTTCTGGGCAGGTGGGTAAGCAGCTGAGTCCCTGTGTGGGGTTGAGTGGGTATGATGGAGCCGCGGGCCCCCAGCCTGGGACGGAGGGCCCTGGAAGAAGGGCAGAGGGGGCTCGGTGCCAGCCCCTGCCCACTGGCCCCCAGCTCAGACTTGTGTCTGTGCTGCTAGGACCCCAGGTGGACCCTACCCCAGAGAAGGCCCATATCCTCTACCTCCCCGGAAGCAGGGGGGGTGCAATTCCCAGAATCCCTTCCTGAAGCTCCTCTCTGGCACGGAGTTGTTCTGAGACTGAAGTTGCCACATGCCTGCCATCCTTTCTCAGGAGCTGGGTGGGAACCTGCCGCCAACCCCTCTGGCTCTCTCTCCTCCCTGGTCACCAAGATTGTCCTTAGAATCTCACAGACCCATCTGTAGGGCCAGCTTCTCTACTTTACAAGCAGAGAAACAGGCTCAGAGGAGCAAGTGATTTGCTAGGACTCCCACAGCAAGAGGGCTGCAGGATTTGCTCCTCACTTTGCATGAGCTATAGGGTGATCTGCCTGGGTTCTGTGGACACAGGCAGGACCAAAGCACCAGCTCCTCCCACAGAAACCCCAGGCCTTCTCTAAATGCCACCTGAAGACCGAGCTTTCTGGGCCCCCAGTCCCCAGTTCTCTCTCTGACCCCAGATCCCCGGGGGACCTGGAAGGTTAGCAGTAGGACCCTTTCTCCCTCCTGCCTCAGTTTCTTCACCTGAAAAACAGGAGCAGTGTGTGTGTGTTCCAGCCCAGGGCAATTGCTCTGCCCATTCCAGCCCTCCCCAGCCCTGGGCCAGCAGGGCCCCCAGCTCCCTTTGTCCTTCACGCTGCTGCTGCCCAGCTCCCTTCTCTGCCCTTCCCAGGTGAGGGCTTGCAGGGCTACGGGTACCAACCTCCCACTCTGCTCTCCCTGCTCCCTCACCACTGGAGCTCAGAATCTCGCGAGTAAGATTTCCAGGATCCCCATTCCAGGGATAAAGTGTGGCCCATGGAGAACGGTTTGCGATCCGTTTCCTGCCAGCCATGGGCTTTGCCACCAACTCTTCAGCTCATCCTCAACCGCCTCAAGGAAGAGCACCCATCATCCCCCTGCACAGGGAAACTGAGGACTAGGGTGGGGACAGATTTTCCTCCATTTCGAGTTAGAAGATGTAGCAGGGCAACGTGAGAACCAGGTTTCCAGCCTTGAACTCTTGCTTCGGCCCCCACTGCCTCCCACGCTTGCCCTTACCCACTTCCACACTGCAAAACAACTAGCGTCCCCAGCTCGGCCTGGCCGCAACCAAGCTGGACTTACACAGAAGAGCTCGCCTCCTCCTAGCTCAGGGGCAGCGGCTCCCGGGCGCCCGCCCACCGGCCACCTGCGCAGATTGGGGCGCTC